AAAGAGTGTGGAAGCTTCTAAAGATCAACCGTCCCAAAGTGTGCGAGGGATGCACAACAAAGACTGAATCCTGCTTGAATCCAGGAACGGCTGTGTGCAGGACTTCCTTTGAGAGCTTGCATAGGGTTGTCACCTAAAACACAAGAGCAGAAGCCAGTCTCTACAGAAAGGAGCATCCTTTTCTGCTCCCAAAGTTGTGCTGCATGTCTTGCAGAGCCACTCTGAGTAGAGGAAGGGAGGAGAGATCAAGAAAGCTCCACAGGCATGGGAATAACACATCCTCTTCAGCTTGTGGAGGAACAGGGGTAGGCAGGGCTACTGCTGCTCCTCAGCTGGACCTCTATGAGCGTCAAGAGTACATCGAGGGTTTGAGGGGAGAGGAGAGGGGAGAAGTTGGAGTATGAGTTGCAACCGGAGCATCGTGAAGAGAAAGAACTATATGCTTCAGGAGGGACATAGGTTTTTCTGGTACAATGGGAGCAACAGACATCTTTCCAAAGCTGCTTGTAGCATGGAGCAGTCAGTGGCAGTGATAATTGAATACCTGGGACCTAGACAGGTTATGACTAAATTACAAGGTGCACAAGATGTGCTAAGGAACACCAGGTCCATGCAAGTTCAAGGCTGAAATCCCAGGAACTGGCCACCTTCTTGAGTGCAGATTCTGGATAACAACTGCATCCAAAGCTCCATTTTTTTCAGGATTTTCCCTGAATCTCCAGGAAATCGTATTTGGGTTGTAAAACTGATCTTAACCAACCTGCAAAGAATGCTCCTGCAGCTCCCAAGTGATCAGTGTCCGCAGGCAGGAGCTGCTGGCGCCTGTCTCTGGGGCTGGGAGGAGGACTTCAACTCATGTCACACCCAAGGGTGGTTGAGAGTCATACCTGCATGCAGCTCGCCTTGGGCAAGCCAGCCAGGGTTTGCCTCACGCACCAAGTGCTGTGCAAGATGCTCTTGCTTAACACAGCTTAGCTCTGAGGCATAAGGATCAGGCAGCACGTGGAAAGGCCCAGATCCCCTGTGGCTTCTCCTCTGGGATAAGTTGAAGGCTCAGCTCTCTAGCTGCCCAGTTGTTGTCACAGCTTTGGAGCACCTCCTCAGCTTCTGACCAGTGATGCTGATACTAGACCCTCTACAATGGAGAAGGGTCCCTTACCCCCATGCAAGGGTTACCACATGTGGGAAGATAGTGGACACTGAAGAACAGACTCCTCCAGTGCCAATCACGTGGAGGCAGAGGGAGAAGTCACAATAATATGACAACACCATTACAATGTATGTTTTTTAGGTCTATATTAAAGGCTCTTCCTTCCCTTTTCCTCTTATTAGACTCTCTGCGTCTCCCACCCTGCAATCCCGTTGGATTCAAGTAAGGTACTTGAGTTCCTCAGGTTCCTTAGAAGCTTGTCACCGTCCAGCTGATGTCTGTGTGGTGGTGGCTGTGTGCAGCTTTCCTCCCAGCTACAGTAGCCTAGGAGATGGGCTTGCCCCAGGAGAAGAAGCTTGCTAACATGGACTGGTGTGACTGCATTAATACCTGCCCAAGGAAAGGCAAGAGTGAGCCAGCTCCTGCCTGCCATGGAGGAGAAGAAAGCCAGCCTGTGGGGAGGAAAGCATATGGGCTGGGTGGACAGCCCGTGTACAAGGTGGTGTTACACTGCAACGGGCTCTGTAGGAGAAAAGGGAAGGGAGAAAGAGCTTTCTGCAATGTTAAGGAAAGAGTTGTGGGTTTGTTAATCACACTTGGTGTGATCTGTCGTGCTAGCCATATGTCACACTCAATTCTGCTATCTTCACCAGCTTTTCCATGTAGTAGTCAGAGTTCACATGCCTGCATTCAAGCAGGGAAGATTTACTTGCTTTTTGGACCACCCCCTGTCTCTAAGTCAGCAATAAGTAAAGGCTTTTTGAAATTCTCTTGAGTTTGCAGCACAAAGATCCATGAGCCAGGCAGTGGTCTCTCCAGCTTTGAGTAGAGGACTATCATCCATCTCAGGTGTGACAGACTCCACAGTGTTGTATTGTAGATCACAGAAAACCAAACGTTACCCAGACCCAGATTTGACCTGCACGGCTGTTCTGTGTTCCCCCCGCGCCGTGGTGTTGTCGCTCCCCCCCCCCCCCCCCCAACCCTAGGCATGCTGGCTGGTGAACAAGTTTGTTAGGGACAAAGCTTCAAGTTGACCTCGTGAACCTGTCATTTTCAAACACAGAGCAATACAGCTTCAGGTATCTTAGGCTGGCCTCCAAAGACCTGGCTGGGAATAAAAACATCTTCTCACCTTGGAAATAATGGCCATCCCCACTCACATTATCATGGGAAAGCATTTATGTGGTCTGCTGTTGGCATAATGGCGAGAGCATTGGAGATGTCTCCATGTCTAACCCTTAAAGCACTGCAGAAAGGGTGGCTGGAAATTCTGATTTCCCCTCTGTGACTGTTGGAAGTCCTGCCCACCCTAAAGGGCAGCTGCTGAGGAGGCTGAAGGTGGCACTGTTGGAAGGATCCCACTCCCCTTCATTGACAGCTTCTTTGAAGAACCACTGAGCCAGTAACCCCAGCAATCTCTCGCATTAGTGCAGACACTCTGGCTGTTCAAGCTGCTTGTCCTGTTGTCTGCTCAAGTTGAGCCCACCTCAGCCTTTCTTTCACAGCTTGTATTTTTTTAACCAACCAGCAAATGCAACTGTCTTGGGATTGGGTTTCCCCTCCTGCCTCCATGCACACGTGTTCCATCCCTTTGAAAGAAGGACTTGGTCGGTGCTGGCATCTGGGCTTGTTTCTCCAAGAGGTCTCACACCTCTGACTAGTGCCTTTATGCTGCTGCCTGTGGAAGCGGGTGAATTCAATGCGGGGTGCCTGGCCACAGCCTGCAGGATATAGCACTCCCAGGAATTTGCTGGGAATGCTGCTTGGCCTGGGTCCCATGAGCCAGCTGCAGCCTGAGCTGCTCCCTCCCTCCCTTGCACCTAACTGGGAATGGGGGGTTCAGCTCTAGTTCCCGTCATGGGTGGGAGATGGGGCTTTCACTAAGGCGCTGCCAAGCCATGTGCCATAGGTATGTGTGTATGGTACTGCTAAAGCACTGTGGTTACCAGCTTGGTCCTGTGGTAGTGCTGGCCAAAATGAACAGCCAGCAAGGTGTACAGCATACCCTTGCGTAAAGCCAGCTACTTTGGAAGAGGAGTAAGGTGAGGGCACTGAACTTGTCCCCTGTCCATCTGGGCATAGCTGGTGTTTCTAACCAGGTGGGAATGCAACACCATGAGCTGATGTTTGCATAGGTGCTGTTGTGATGATGAAAACCCCACCCAAAAGGGAGCCAAAGATACTGCCCCTGAGTGGTCCCAATCTTCTGTAGCTCAAGTATCAAGGGAAGTTTGAGTTACCAGGTTCACACCTGGGGAAGTTTCTCCTCTGAAACCACTACAAAGCAAGAGGTGGGAGGTGTACAGAAAGGCTGGCAGGTTCTACCCATCCTTCTCCTCGGGGACAATATCTATTTCTGAGTGAAGCCTATTATACTGGTCTAACTGAAGACTGTCTTTGGATTTTCCCAGGTTGCATGAAGAATTAAAGATGGCAAAAAGTGATGGCGGCATACACATCTTGCAGGGTCTATTAGTCTTTGGGAATGTTGTCATTGGGGTAAGTGAAGTGGAACAAGCATGGGTGGAGGCTTCCTTCCAGTATGGCACTTCTTAAAGCAGCAGTTCCCAGCTATGAAATCCTTCTTCATGCATGAAGTCCAAATATATACACCAGTCAAGTGCGAGAGGAGAGGTAAAGGAGAGCTGTGCCAGCTGATCAGTTGGGTGGTGAGGGGACAGCAAGGGACAGCAGGGGCTGATCCACGAGACCAACATTAATTCTAGGGGAAAAGTACTTGCTGCTGACCAACGTCTTCCCAGCCACCTCCTTCCATATAGTGATGGGAAAGGTTCTGTTAATTCTTTCTTAACAGCCTCCAATCCTAGGTCTGGTCTCTCAGGTCTAGGCTGAGTAAGTTTTGCTGGCAACTCTTCTGTGAAGGCCCAGTACAAGAGATTACAGAGTTGGACAGACAAGGAGTTGAGTAGCTCCTGTTTGGCAGGAAGTTGAATGAAAGAAAAGTGGTCTCCATCTTTTTCTCTCTCTTCTATTTCTTTGGGGAAGCTCGATCTAATGGTTTTCCTGAACTTGCACTTTTCAGATGTGTGGCATTGCCCTGACAGCAGAGTGCATTTTCTTTGTGTCTGATCCCCATGGTCTCTACCCTCTGCTGGAAGCCACAGAAAATGATGACATCTATGCTGCTGCCTGGATTGGCATCTTTGTTGGCTTTGCGCTCTTTGCTCTGTCTATCCTTGGTATCGTTGGAGTCATTAAGTCCAACAAGACCTTGCTGCTAGTGGTAAGTGTAGCAATGTTTGCCTACGTACTGCTGCCAAACTGACAAAATGCTGCCTTAGTTTCCCTGGTCACCTTAGTAATCACCCACGGAGCAAAGACAGCTTTTATTAGGGATAAGGAGCCAAAGGTTCATCTTGATCATGGCTGTGGTGTCCCACAAGGTGAGGACACATGCGTGAGAAGCTCCCAAATGAGGCTGAGAGAACTAATGATGATGCTGACTGGCTTGAGCCTGACCTTGCCCCAGAGCAACTCAGAAGCACTTGTGCAATCAGATGGAGCTGGGATGTGGTTTAGATCCTTGTTTCTCCCCACCCCGTAGTGTCTTCCAGCTGTCCTACACCATTCAGTGGAGGATTGTAAGTAATCACTTCTGTACAAGGCATTAGTATGTGTTAGTATACCAAATACAGGTGCAATTGAGAACATTAGGCATCAGCAGGCAGGCAGAAATTACAGGGGTGGGGACAAAGAGCTTTGGCTAAGCCAAGAACAATGTTAAGGTGTGAACAAATCTCTGTACAATTTCTCTCTTAGTCCCTTAGGTTGGCAGTAATTGGTGCTTTCATTAATGAAGGGTAGAGCTGAAACCTCTGGAATCAGCTCTCTCTTGGATTAATGTGGGATGGCAGGCTGCCTGTTTTAACCAAGAGACAGAGATCGGAACTCTTGTGCCATGAACTGGCCAGCAAACAACTGAGGGAAGAGAATTCCCTTAACTCTGAATTTTGGTGTCTTGTCTGAAACCCAAGGCTGTGGTACAGGAGAGACTACAAGGGGCAGAAGCTGGGGTAAGAAGGAAACAAATACCTTGAATTTGAGAAGAACGTTATAAAATGTGGGAGGAGAAATAGATACATGAGAACACCAAGGGGGAATATAGGAAAGATTAAAGGAGTGCTGCTGAGAAGGGAAGAGAAACAGCAAAATAGACTCTGAGAGGTGATCTTCAGGATCTTTTTTCATGAAGGATCTTTGCTCACAAAGTACCAATGCTGAGGAAATCTCATGATGCAAAATCAGGAGGATCTGAAAGACACCCTAAATTGCACCTTATGCTTCTCCAAAGCACAAGCTCTCCTGCTAGGAGTGAACAGCTTCTTGCTAAAATCTTGTAGCTGGCAAGTGGAAGAGGAAGGAGGAGACATTGCACAAGCAAAAGTCGCTAATGAAATGCAGCAAAGAAAAGGGCAAATGTTATTCTAGGACATATCAGACAAAACATTTTCCATGAAGGCAGGGTGGTATTAATGCCATGAGGTGCTGATGAGATCTTGTCTGTGAGAGGGAGAACAATTCCAGTCATACACCTTCAAGAAAGCAGAAAGGAAAGGCTATACGTGAATGTTCAGGTGCATGGAGAGGACTGAGGAGAGGATAGCCTGGCCTCTTTTACTTTGAATAATAGTGAGATCTTGTCTGTGAGAGGGAGAACAATTCCAGTCATACACCTTCAAGAAAGCAGAAAGGAAAGGCTACGTGTATGTTCAGGGGCATGGAGAGGACTGAGGAGAGGATAGCCTGGCCTCTTTTACTTTGAATAATAGAATCAACTAGGTTGGAAAAGACTTTTAAGATCAGTTTCAGCCTTAATCTTGAAAAGACTGCTGAGCTGTTTCTCCAAGAGCTAACTCTGCTGTCTGTCTCCCACAGTATATTATCCTGATGTTGATCACTTATGCATTTGAAATGGCTTCTTGCATCACGGCAGCGACTCAGAGGGACTTTGTGAGTATTTCTTTCCTCAGGTATTCTTGCAACCATGCTGGGAAATGTTGCAGTTCCAGGGCACACAGTAGTCCTGTTCAGTGCTGTAAATGGCTGGTGTGGTGGTACAATGTAGACCCAAACAACTACTGCTGAGTTAGAGAAAGACCCCACAAGGGAAGTCTCCAACATCGTTATTCTAACCAAGGAAATAGCTTTGTTCTTTTAAAAATAGCTTTGTTATTTTCAACATTTTAAAATGTTTACAACCTTGTAGTTAAGGAAATACTAGTGTGAGTTAGCTGAATCATCAATGCAGTGTTTAGTCTTTCAGTTACAGACTGATTACTATACATGCAGAAGACAGCATAGCCCTAGGCAGTGTTACTGGTGAGGGAAAGATTATGTGGGTTATTGGAGATACTGGTAAGGAGGGAAATGACTTGTGGTGCTTTAGTTCCTAGCAATATATCAGATGTAACCCCTAGATTCTACACTTCTCCTGTGATATAACATCTGGTAGAGCCTCTTTAAGAGTCATGATCAAGATCTATGTATTTGTTGCTCCTCCAGCTCGTATCCTGCTCTTTATTCTCATGTGCGTAAAACTGAGGGAGAAACAGCATTCCTACTCTCCAGGAAGACACTGAAACAAGCAAACAAACCCACCCCAAATAACCCCATATTTGCTTTACATGGCCACTTATTAAGATAGTTTCTGCATTCTTCACTATTTGGTTGTTTGTTGTTCTTTTTTCTATAGCTCACTCCAAATCTCTTCCTGAAGCAAATGCTGGAGAGGTATAAGAAAGCAGAGCCAGACAATAACAATGACAAATGGATGATTGATGGAGTTACAGATACATGGGATAAGCTCATGGTTCAGGTAATAATAACACAGAAATGTCCCTCTAATTACTAAATGCTCTGCAGCACTGGAATTTCAAGTCCTCCTTGGGGCCACTTGGTAATAAAGAGGACGGCATCTGCCTTGAACCTTAGAGAAAGTCCTGCCACACTCCCCACTTTGCTCGTTTATCAGATGGCAGACTGTCAAACGCAGGCACTTCAGAAATCTCCCCCGTAAATCTGTGGTTAATGCCTAACCAGCCATGTGCAGGGCTCTGACCTGGGCCCATAAAGATCATTCCCTTCTCTCGCCCTGCAGAACCAGTGCTGCGGGGTAAATGGTCCCTCCGACTGGCAGAAGTACATGTCCGCCTTCCGCGCCACTCACAGCGATGCTGACTACCCTTGGCCACACAACTGCTGTGCTTTGGATGCCCAAGGGTCCCCCACCAATCTTGATGGCTGCAAGCTCGGAGTCCCTGGCTACTATAACAGCAATGTAAGATCCTCTCAGCTTTTCCCAGTTAACATATGTTGGTCAAAAGCACCTTGCTGGAAGGGAAGGTGTTCAAAAGCTTTCTGAGGAGAAGCAATGCCTGTAGGGTCCTGGCCAGGTTGCTGAACACAGGATAGGCCGTAAAAAGGCTTTCCTGATAGAGAGACAACTGCTAAGAAAACATGCCTAATGTCACCAGTAAGAAGTGACATCTCCAACATGTAGATGGACAGTAGCTAAATCAAACTTAGCCCAAAGATCAGTGCGTACAATATCGAGTGAGCAAGTCAGTAGTTCTCCTCTTCAAGGTAGAACTTTTCAGTAGACCAGCTTGTACTATTCAAACAGTCTGATGGGTCATGAGCCTCAACTTCTTCACTAGCAAGCATTTCTAGAAGGTGTTCAAGCTTCCAAATTTGCTGACAACTTCTGGATTCTGGAGGTCAGCTCCATGCTGGCTGTGTTTGGCTATATATGTATACTCGGCAAATGGATGGCACAGTAGTGCCAGTCCTTGAAGTGTCTGAGATGGGTCTATTTTGTATTTGGAACTAGACACAGGAAGTCTATCTGCACGTTATCAATAAGCAGTGTAGATCCAGCTTGTCTTCTTGAGACCCTGTGAGCTACCCAAGTTGCAGTAGGAGAGGAGCCTGGCACCTCAGTGTCTCTCAGAGGTGCTTAAGCTCGTCTCCCTGTGGTACAAGCTCAAAGCTGCTGCTGATTCATTCACTCATGGTTGTCTTACAGGGTTGTTATGATGCTATTTCTGGGCCAGTAAACACGCAAGCCTGGGGTGTTGCCTGGTTTGGTTTTGCCATCCTCTGCTGGACTGTAAGTACTTAATATTTGCCTCTATTTCCGTTTCTCTTTTCTTTATAACCCACACCCAGTTGGGTGGAGGTGGATGACAGGGCTGACACATTTAAAGGGTCAGTAGATTATAGTTATTCATTCATCACCAATATGCCTGTAGCCTGTTTCACTGACAGGGCTACATTCACAAGTTCTGCTCCATTCTGGCTTCCACAGGTAAGGAGCTAGGTGGCCTTCCAGCCTGTTGTGGCCTGCTGCTATCTCGGTAATACAGCACAGCCAACACAGCTTGCAGATACTTGTTTGTGAAGGGTATTGGATAGTCTAAACAGCAATCATGACAAATAATTCAGTTTGTAGTTCAAAGACTCTGTATGAGTGGTTTAAGTACTCAGGGTTCAGAAGCTCAGCAGCTTCATGAAGGATAATCCCCAGCGAGCTGAGTGATCCACTCAAGTAGTTATGGCTGCACATACCTTCTTTCTTCACTGTGCAGCTTCTGTGCAGATAAAAAGCTTTAAGCTTCCTCTGCCTGAACAGACTTGGCTTGCCAAGGATTTCTGTTGCTTTCTCCTATCAGTAGGACTAAATGGGGCTGGGGGAGAGGTGGGTAGAAGGAAAAGGGGAACAGAGAAACTCAGTAGTCTTGTCCTTTCAGTTCTTCGTCCTCCTTGGTACCATGTTCTTCTGGAGCAGAATTGAATACTGAAGGCCCGGTATCCTCAGCGCTGCCCTGAAGCACCATGTGAAACTGCATTCGTTCGTCTCCTGCTCCATTCTCCTTGTGACATGGAGGATTTGAAGTGTTCCCACTACCTCTCCCATATATACTTTTGCCCCTCCAAAAACTTGACACACAGAACTGATAACTCCAGGAAAGAATCTTCTTGTCCCTTATTTGCCCCTTGTTCTGCAGCCTTAACGCCTCCTGGCTGAGGCACAATCCTTCTTTCACTGTGCAAGAAATCCTTAGAGTGTAATATTAAGAAGAGAGATGATTTGTTCTGTGATACCATCAGAAAGGAAAATGTCCATATACATTTGCTTCAGAAAAATCTCTCTCTAAAACTATGTTGAATGTAAATCACAATGCTAAAGGCTTCAGCAAGGGCTATGTGAGCAAAGCTGTAACCTCCTGTGGCCAATAAAGACAGATGCTGCAAGGGAGAAGACTGCAGGCCTTTCTAATCTATTTTATTGTTCAGCTTCTGTTCCTGGTCTCTGTCACCCCTTGCCTTAGAATATGGCAGATTCTCAAAGAGTTTAAGTGTGTCAGCAGTAAAGACATGTCACGGATAAAAAGTCTGCTGCTAGTCAAGCCCAATAAAAGGCTAGCTCACTCCTCAGCAATATGCTGCCTAAATCCAAGCCTACCTTCTGTCACTGACGGAACTACTGCGTGTGCTCCTACCTTCAGAAGTGCCAGTCCAGGAAAAGCTCCACTTGCTAACGAGCAACTGCTTCAAAAAGCTGTTATGTACTTCACACACGATTTGTACAGAGTAAGTGGGGTCCTGTGCTGTAGCTGGCTTTGTGAAAGTGGCTGTCTCATGCCCTTAGATTATCATGCTTCTTACTTCCACTGCCTACATGTATATGGTCACATCCCCTATGTACTTCCCCTTTCCGCATACCCGGATCAGGTAGGATAAAAGGCAAATAATGACAAGGAATAACTCCTATGAACAATGCAAGCAAGGAGCTAAATGAACCAAATCCATCCCTTGCATCAGCAATTACCGTTCTCACTCTGCTCAACAGAGGCTGTTTACTTTGGCCCAGACTGATCTGGTGTCTTTCCTAGTGAACACTTCAGTAGTTATACATGTGTCATGTGAAATATGCTCCTGTATAGAGCTTTATAAGGTGAAGCCTCTTCCAAAGGTGCACTGGCTCGGGTCTTCACACTGGTCAGTGGCCTTGATTCTTTGTTTTTGTATATTCGCCAAAATATCAATTAAAAAGAAGTGGAAGTGAAACCTTTTTCTTGTTTTAGATTGTGTGAAAGGGGAAATTGTAAATGTCTTTATCCGGGACATGTGGGGCAGTGCAAAGGTAGGCTTTAAAGCCACATATCCCCATCCTGAAGATCAGTGATGCATGGTGCTACAGAATCTTTGTAGCTGAATAGTCCCTTGATAGGGTGCTGGGGGAGAGAAAGGGTCAGCTATCAGGGTGAACAGCTTGAGGAAAACTAGGCCCCTGCAGCACAGAAGGGTTTTTCTGTATGAGTGTGCCTTCAGAAAGGGAAATCCCCATGGATCAGCCACTTCACTGGTTCAGTGGGGTGGTGACTGTCCTGGAGATGCCCCACTGCTAGCAATTTCCATAAGGAAGTTAGTCTTCAACACTGTTTTGTGAGACCCAAGGAATGGATAGAGTGTGTGGACTGTGTATGTCAGTGGTCTGGGGGTCTTGAGAGGGAGTTTGGTGGTAGGGGTTTTTGTGTGTATGTTGCTGAAAGCTACAGTAATACCTAAACCTAAAGAAGTCTAAAGAGAACCACTGTCTGCCTAAGTTAGACAGCAATAGCAAAGACTGGGTTCTCTGCTTCTTGCCATGGACTCCAAATCCCTACCAACCACAACAGCAGAGAGGAGAAAAATGGGGAAGGAAGGACAGTGCAGGCACACAGCCTCTGTCCTTGCTTCACCAGACCCCTCCAATAACTCCTCAATCATGGGTAGCTGCATTCCTGTGCAAAGGTCTCTTGCTCAAGTTGTTTCTGGAAATCAAGTGGGTACAATAATTGGCTACGGGACTAGTAAGGCCTTCTACCTATGGCTGGAGATAGGACTTTAGGACCACAGAAGAAGGTAATGTCAGATACCATTTTCCTCCTCTGGTCTTTTGCTTCAGACCCAGAGGTCTCTTCCTTCCTGCTGCATCAAACTGTGGTGTGATTATAGCACTGCTCTCAACGTAGAGCAAATGCTGCAAGACTTTGCAGGAGAAAAGGAACTGAGATTATTTTTTGCACTACTTTGCAAGAAGGTTTTACACTATTAACTGCAAACAATTGCCATATTAACTGCTCCAACCAGTTGCAAATGATACCATTGACCTGTTGCATAAACAGCAGCTTAAGCAAATGAAGTTTCGGTTCTTCACTTTGCTTTCTTTTCCCTATCGTTGCACTTTGTGATTTATGTTCTTAAAACACAAAAGCTGTGACTGACCCGGGCAACGGCGAATCTAGGCAGGAGTGCCAAGCATGCCCCAGTGCATCCAGAAAAATCCAGCTTTATCCACTTGAACAGAGGAGGAAGAAAAGGACCAGACTGATGGCAGAATGAAGCTGAGCATGCTCATGAAAACTCCTGCACAGCTTTGTCAGGTTTTTCATCTTCTGAAAGTTGATTCCAATCTCTACAACTTCCCTACCTGGGATGCCAGGGGAAGGGTGAGGAACAGATGGAATCTGTAATAGGAATGGTGGTGAACTGGTTTATCTGTTAGCTGAGGCTTGTAAAGAAATCCTGGTCATTCTCAGCTGTTTGGATTGCTGCTCAAAGGTATGGATGTATGTTTTAATGGTCCTCAACACAGGCAATATGCATGTGTGTGTGTAAACTGCTGGGCTGAGACATGATGAAGGAAAAACTTCCCTAGGTGGAAGCTGTGCGGTTTGTTTGCAGGTTGGTTCTGTGCATTTCTTCTCTGTAGGTGTGAATATTCACAGCTCTCTCTTGGCAAAAAAAAGCATGTTTTGATTCTCCCATGGAGTTACCAACTGTATTTTTAGATTATTAATTTATTGTAATGATCCCAGCTCTGAGAAATGGGACTTTTGCTGAGAAACAGCCTCTGTTCAGACTTGACAGAGCAACGTGGCCTCCAAGCCAACAAGAATCCCAACTCCTCAGCTGCTCCACTCCTGCACACACACAGACATAACATGATGTCTTTCGTATGGCTGAATGTTTGTGGGTGGCAGTACTGAATGTGTCTGTTCCTTCAGACAGCGGGGCTGCCTCCATGTATTTTTCCAACAGGATTTCCTACTCCTTCCTCCTTTGCTTTCACTACTTCTTCTGCATGAGATCTCTTTACACAGACTCTCTCAGGCCGTATTTCTCCTTACCTTACTGATTCATATATGATATCCTATCCCCACTATATACTATATACAACATACTATCTCCATGCTTGCATCTGGCTATCCACCTCACTGTGAAAACCATCAGCCAGGCTGGCGGTGGCATTTGGTATCCTCTGACTCAGATGATTTATCCTTCATTCTGCTCTCTGCCCTGGCATCTTAGTTTTTCACATTCCTTAACAGGGTCTTGTGCCAAGCAATATTTAATGGGACCAAGTATGACCTAAAACTAGCTCATAAACGAAGCTTCCTTCTCCCACCCTTTGGCAGCCCTGCCCTCTTTGGCAACTGGGGAAAGCCTCTGCAACGTGTGGTATGCTGGGAACCTCCTGTAAGAACTCTCCCTGTAATCTCAGGCATCTATCTTGAGGAGATCCTGCTGCTTGAGGAGTTGAGGATGAGTGATGAGGGTTCATCCTCAACAGGAGTAAAAGGTGAGGGTGTCTCTGGCTGCGTTAGCTTGCACACAAGGTGAAATTCCAGCATGGGCAGTCATCTGCGGTTCTTGCACACTCAGCAGTTGAGATGAGCTCTGCCAGAGAGCTAAGTGATGAGCAGTGAGCTGCTGTGGCTGCCAAGGGCTGTTACTGACCCTGAGTGAATGCAGGACTGAAAACCTTTTTTGTCTATATATTTTCCAAAGCAATGCTCACCTTTAGCAGGGTTCTGTGGCTGGCACAGAGGCTGGAGAAGGTAAAGCCGTGACACTCCACATAATCCCTGCAAATAACCAGCCTAGTTTTTTTACATGTCTCTTCTGCCTCCACTGTCTTACCCTTAGTCTTTAAAGCAAATTATCTCACAATACAACAAAAAAGGTGAATAAAGCAGTCTGTGAGCAGCTATTCTTTCTGATGTCAACTTCTTCCTGACTCGTACGAACGAGAAGGGAAAGAAGTTGCCTGACATTTTTCAGACTGGTTTAAATCTGTCTTATTGGCTGAGATTTGAGTTGTTTTGTTGTTTAGTTGTGGGTTTTTCTTCCCTTTTTGGGTTTTACTTATCTGGAAACTTTCCCTGCTTAATAATCATCATGTGTGTTGTTTTCCTTCCTCCAGCTCTGGTTGTTCCCATATTTCTGTTCCTTGTGGTTCATTCTTAAGGAGCTACTAAGTTTTCTTTGAAGCCATTTCCTCCCACTGAATTCAGATATTTCCTGTTCTTTTCAGATAAAGCATTTAAATAATAGAGAGATATGTGCCCCCTTTAATAGAAGTGTTATGGAAGAAAACAGGTCCAGTTTTAAGATGGATCTGGACCCAAAGTGCACAACATGATTCCTATGAATTTTCTAGATTTACAAAACGTAGTTCATCTCTCACTGCAGTTTGCAAATAAGACATGAGAAAATAGCTACCTTCTTTTGATAGGGAGTCAACCAAACGTTCTTGTTTTAACACTCATACTGTATCTAACTTTTGGGGGCATAAGTACTTGGCCATGTCTGGGCTTTGCAGCTCCCATTCATTTCTAATCCTTATTTCTGAAACTGCTCATCTTTTACCCTTGTAGAGAGACTTATTCTTTATTCCTTGTAGTTTATTCTGCTCTGACAGAAAATGAACTTGGAGAACTCACTGGCTTTCTCTATCTTGGCTATTATGATCCTTTTTACTGTTCTTGACACCTTGTGCCAGCTTGGCTGAAG